GGCATGACTTTGATGCTAAATGTACGATGCTGACGCACGAGACGGAAACCACATCTAAGAAAGTTCTAGGGTCATTTTGGATTTTCGCGAGAAAACCAAGAATGAACAACCGAAACGAGTGTCTGGCTATTACAAATGAATTCCTGCCGTTTGTATCAGAGTGCGAGCTACAGTAAGGACTACGTGCGCTATGACAATTTTGACTTATGCGACACGATGAGACTCAAGTGAGACTCATTCGCCCTTACTAGTCTCACTAGCACACAGCGTGAGCTAGCTCCCCACGGTTTGACGTTCGGTGAGTTGTTTGCAGATTACTTGGTTCAATACACGAGTCGGAACGCTAGAGTGGGGAGAGCGTTTAGCCGGATAGGTGACAGATTAAAAGCTTCGAGCCATTTTCATTTTCTGAAGAAGACGAGAAGGTCGAAATGTTTGGCCATTATCGAAACGTTAGGCCAATAAAAGTTCCATCTAACAATCTCGTTTGACAGAAGTATTTCAACATTCGACATCATGCCGAGGTTACAACAAGGGGCAACATGGAATCGGGTACCAATTTACTGTCTCTCAGGGGGGAAGAAGTCTTGGCTTCTCTGGGATGGAGCCGAAACGGGCTTTGCCTCCAGCTCCAGCACCGTGCATGGCAAGCATGCCACTTGCCATTAAACCACCACCGTAACGATGTTAATCTGGTAATACATATTCATCAATGAGGCGCGGTTCGTGTAGTGGCAAGTGGCACGCTCGTCTGGGAGGGTAAAAACATTGACTAGTACATCGGCGGTCGTTGTGTCGTTGTGTACTGCACCACTGCAAGTCGTTGTGTAGGATATACCGCATTCTGTGAACCGCTGCAATTCTGAGTGGAAGTAGAATGCGTGGTGCATTCCATGAAAGGGTTGATCAGCTACGAAAACTTTATCTCCTAATGTATTCATTGTTTCCCGACTGAGCTTTTAATGTTGTCCATTGAATTTTCAGTGTATCCATGAGGTTGCGTCAGATGAAAGTTCATCGAGGTCTGATTCTGGGGATTTCCAAGAAGTGCGTCAAGCATCATGAGGTAAAATTTGTTATTCATTCATCTATTCATTTATTCAGCAACAACCGGTGTGAGAAAGAAAATTCAAGATAGAACATAAGTAAACTAAAACTATGTATGACGGGGCTTTGGCGGTGAAGGGAGGGGCACATGTCGGCAGAAATCAGTTCTCTGTGCCCTAAGACGAGATTGCGGACTGTGGTCATCTATTGTTCTGCTGTGCTTGACAGCAGAAAGAATCACCATCTCCGTGAAAGAGGGCGGAGATGAAGATGAAATTGCGCCGCAACAAGCCTCCTCCCCTTGCCGCCAGGTCTTTTCATTCATTTGG